CATTGTTGTTTGGCGGGTCCGGGCTGGGGATTCGAACCCGCCACCTTAGGTGTACATGGCTGGCGCCTTAGCCGGTTGAGCTATAGGCGCTGAGCCAACTTGGCTTCTATTAATAGAACTTGGAAATCATACATAGATGTATATATATATACCTGTAAAACATCACACTGAAGATACTCATCATCTCAAAATTTCATTCATATTCCTTTTTACTTGATCCTTCCTCAGCAACCATAAATCTGCTTAACAGTCACTGAAGATGACAGGTAGAATTTTATCTAAATAGAATCATACAGTATTTTTTTTTTTGGTATGAATCTCCAAAACAAAAAACAAAAAGAAGCAATTAGATTAATAGAGCAAGAGGCACTGACTTCAAGATTAAGACTATGTGATAGATCAAATGGAACAAAATAAAGTTCAAAAAGCTGTGGATCTCAAAGCTTCTTTGAGATTCATCCATGTTCTCATGTGTGTCAATAGTTCATTTTTCTTATTGGTGAATGGTGTTCCCTAATGTAGATACATTATAATTCATTTATCCATTTGGGTTTCCTGTTTTTGGCTATTAATAAGTAGAGCTGCTGTGAATATTTGTGTATAGATCTTTATATGAGCATATACTTTAAATTTTTGAGTTAATACTTAGGATTGGGGCTCGGTGCCCATAGCACAATAGTTACGACCCGGCCATGTACACTGAGGGTGGCAGGTTCGAACCTGGCTCAGGCCAGCTAAACAAGAATGACAGCTGCAACAAAAAATAGCCAGGTGTTGTGGCAGGTGTCTGTAGTCCCAGCAACTTGGGAGACTGAGACAAGAAAATCACTTAAGTCCAAGAGTTTGAGGTTGCTGTGAGCTGTGACACCATAGTACTCTACTGAAGGCGGCATGGTGAAACTCTGTCTCAAAAAGAAAAAAAACCCTGTCATCCATTTCAAGTTAATTTTTTTTTTAATTGAATGGTAACTATGTACCATTAATGCACTTCTGGGGTACAGTGTGGGGTTACAAGTTAATTTTTATATGAGATAGGAGGTAAGGATTGAAGTTTATTTAGTTTTTTGCTTGTGGGTGTCTAGTTGTTCCAGCCACATTTGTTAGAAAGATTATCTGTTTCCCATTGAATTGACTTGGCACCTTTGTCAAAATTTTAGCCATATTACATATATGTATTGATCCAGCTTTTTGGACTTTATTTTGTTCCATTTGATCTACTGATCCATCACTTCATAATATCACATAGTCTTAATCTTGAAGTCACTGCCTCTTGCTCTATTAAACTTCACAGCTCACAGCAACCTCCAACTCCTGAGTTCAAGCGAGTCTCTTGCCTCAGCCTCCCAAGTAGCTGGGACCACAGGTGCCCACCACAACGCCCGGCTCTATTTTTTTTTTTTTTTTTGTTGCAGCCATCATTGTTGTTTTGGCGGGTCCGGGCTGGGGTTTCGAACCCACCACCGTAGGTGTATGTGGCTGGTGCCTTAGCCGGTTGAGCTATAGGCGCCGAGCCTTTTGGTTTGTTTTTGAGACAGTCTCACTGTGTTACCCTTAGTAGAGTATTGTGGCATCACAGCTCAAAATAACCTCAAGCTCTTGGGCTTAATAGATTCTCTTGCCTCAGCCTCCCAAGTAGCTGGGATTACAGACACCTGCCACAATACCCAACTTTTTTTTCCCCAGTTGTTATTGTTTTAGCTGGCCCAGGCCGGTTTCAAACCCACCAACCTTGGAGTATGTGGCTGGTGCTGTGACCACTGTGGTACGGGCACTGAGCCTTTTTCTTTTGATACAGTCTTACTTTGACACTCCCCACCCCCAAGAGTGCTGGGGCATTATAGCTCACATCAACTTCAAACTCGGGCTCTAGGGATTCTCTTGCCTTAGCCTCCCCAGTAACTGAGACTACAGGTGCCCAGGCTATTTTTAGACATGGGGGGTCTGCTCTAGCTAAGAGCTGGTCTCAAATTCGTGAGCTCAGGCAATCCACCTGCCTTGGTCTCCCGGAGTGCTAGGATCACAGGCATCATGGCTCACAGCAACTCCTGGACTCAAGCAGTTCTCCTGCATCTGCCTCCCAAGTAGCTGGGACTACAGGCGCCAGCCTGGCTATTTTTTGGTTGTAGCCATCATTGTTGTTTGGTGGTCGTGGGTTGGATTTGAACCCGCCAGCTACAGTGTATGTGGCTGGTGCCTTCGTCGCTTGAGCCACAAGTGCCGAGCCCCTTTATGATTTTTAAATTTGTTACTCGTTCAGCAAATTTTCCTTTTTTTTTTTTTATATAGAGTTTTTGGCTGGGGCTGGGTTTGAACCCGCCACCTCCAGCGTATGGGGCCGGCACCCTACTCCCTTGAGCCAGCAAATTTTTCTATTAAGATACAATATAGGCTTTGTGAGTAGACAATCCTTTATGAGAAAATATTTTTTCATTTTTGTTTTGTTTTACCAGGCCTGGGCTGATGGGTTTGAACCACTGGTGCATGTGGCTGGTGCCCTACCCACTGAGCTACAGGCACCACCATATGAGAAAATAATCTAGTCAAGCTTCTGGGAATGTTGCCTTTGAGATTTCTTTTTTGTTTTTGAAGTTTTTGGCTGAGGCTGGGTTTGAACTGCCACCTCTGGCATATGGGGCTGGCACCCTACTCCTTTTTTTGAGACAGAGCCTCAAGCTATCCCCCTGGGTAGAGTGTTATGGCATCACAGCTCACAGCAACCTTCAACTCCTAAGCTCAAGCGAGTCTCTTGCCTCAGCCTCCCAAGTAGCTGGGCCCACAGGCGCCTAGCTATTTTTTGGTTGCTGTTGTCATTATTGTTTTTGGTGGGCCAGGCTGGATTCCAACCTGCCACCTTAGGTGTATGTGGCTAGCGCCTTAGCCACTTGAGCCACAGGTGCTGCCCCTTTAGGATTTTTTGGTAGTAAATAAGTGATTTAGTTAGGCCTTGCTAGAGTAGTCCAAAAGTTTTTACAAATCAAAGTATTATGCTTAAATGTAGCAGGCATTCAGAAAATATTGACTTAAACAGTATACTAGAAGAAAATTTTTTCTCTTGCAGTCTGGATGTGGATAGTGAAGCTAAGAAACTACTGGGATTAGGACAGAAACATCTGGTGATGGGTGATATTCCGGCAGCTGTTAATGCATTCCAGGAAGCAGCCAGTCTTTTGTAAGTACTCTGTGTTTCCCTATGATGTAATATTATGTTCCTAGTAATTCTTGAGTTATATTTAAAAAGTTGTTTTAAGGGAGAAAAGCAAAAAGAGCAAGAGTTTTAAAACATTTGACTATTATAGCCAGGCGTTGTGGCGGGTCTCAGTTACTTGGGAGGATGAGGGAAGAGAATTGCTTAACCCAGTGGTTCTCAACCTTCCTGATGCCATGGCCCTTTTAATACAGTTCCAGTGGCTCAGCGCCTGTAACGCAAGCTGCTAAGGCACCAGCCACATAACACCAGAGCTGGTGGGTTTGAATCCAGCCTGAGCCTGCCAAATAATAACGACAACTACAACTAAAAAATAGCCAGGTGTTGTGGCGGACACCTGTAGTCCCAGCTATTTGGGAGGCTGAGACAAGAGAATCGCTTAAGCCCAGGAATTGGAGGTTGCTGTGAGCCGTGATGCCACAAGCACTCTACCAAAGATGACATAATGAGACTGTCTCAAAAAA